CTCTCTCTCTCTCTCTCTCTCTCTCCTTTGAACCAGGGATTGAACTCAGGCCCTTGCACTTGCTAGGGAAGCACTTATTCCACTGAGCCATCTCCCCAGCTCCCCTCAGTTCTCTTAAGAGGCAGCCCTATCCACACGAGGCACCCAGGGATATGGCTGCCAGCCAGGTGTGTGTGTGTAGCAGTGTGAGAGCAAGTGTGTGAATGCCCGACAGCTGCAGCTCTGTTAATCACAGTGGTGAGCACCAGGGGCCAAGGGGGACAGAAGTCCAAGGCCGTAAGTTCTCCTCCTTGCCTGGCCAGCCACATTCAAGTGCCCTTGGAAGTTAAGAAGGGGTAAGGAGACGAATCTGCGTGTTTCTTTCCTTGCTGGACATGTAGAATTCCAAGTTACTTTGGTAGGGAGAAAAATTACACTTTGGCATCCTCTGCCATTGATTCTGTTTTCTGATTTCATCAGGAGTGAGAGTCAAATTCTGGGCACCTGGGGCAGGGCCAGGGGGACACCAAAGATATCCCTTCTCGACTCATCCTCCTGGAGATCCAGCAGTGCAGGGAGGTGGAAGGGCTTTCTGCAGGCATTCTCTTGTCGGCCTCCCTGTGTCTGTCCTCCGCTGGCTTCTGGGGCCCCTGAGAATGCTAGCCTCTTTGCTGTTCCTCCTGTAATGGGGAACCTGGCCTGAGGCTTGGGTATGGGGCTTCACAAAGAAAGGGTGATAGTTGAGGTTGACAGTGAATGCTGAGGAAAAGTCCAGCAGGTGGGGCCGGGAGATGGCTCAGTAGAATAAGTGCTTCCCTGGCAAGCGCAAGGGCCTGAGTTCAATCCCCAGTTCCACACACACAAAAAAAAAGAGTCCAGCAGGTGACTTTCTAGGGTAAGGGCCTTTACGATGGAAAGCACAGTCCAAGTAAAGTCTCAGCAACCAAAGAGCTGATGCATCCCCAGAATGAAGCTGTTCAGGAGCCCTGGCAGAATAGGCAGGGCTGGTCGAGGGAGGGTGCTGTGAATGACAGGTGATCCTGCACCCCCCCCCCCAGCTCCTACAACCTCTGAGGCGGGGACAGGGCACTGCAGAGAGGACATGAAGGGTGAGAAGTGGTAGAATGATGTCAGGACATAGCCTGGGGTAGGGTGAATAGTATCTTCAGCAGGACAAAAAGATCTCTCCACTAGCTAGGGCTCCAGAAGAGGAGCACTGCCAGTGGGTTGATGACTTGTGCAGTGACGGTTTGCAGCATCTCCAAGGGAGGGAGAGGCTCAGGGGGAACTCTGGGCATAGGGGTCAGAAGGTCATGTCAGGTTGAAGAAGTAGTTGTGCTTAGGTGAGGGAAGAGAGATGGAGGAGCTGACCAGAGAAAGGGAGGGCATTGGCCTAGCTGGCCCCAGAAGCCAGAGCTGAGGTGGTAACAAAGCACACCTATAGTGCCTGCGCCACACGTTAGACCTAATCGGCCTGGGTGGCCACAGCTTCAAGGAGATGATTGCTTTAAGAGGTTTGGTTCGGTCTCCAGTGGGGGGTCTATGGCCATACCACCCTGTACACGCCCAACCTCATCTCTCAGAAGCTAAGCAGGGTCGGGCCTGGTTAGTACTTGGATGGGAGGTCTCCAGTGGGGGCCACACCTGTAGGTGTCAGATTCAATCTTGCCTCACCTGCAGCACCAAGGAGGCCAGGCCCTAGGCAGCTACAGTGCAACCCCTAGAGTGCCTCTAAGGAGCATCTCAGGCTCCAGCCAGCCAGCTGTCCTGTGAGGATCTCTAACCCACTTAGGGAATGTGGTATTTATGTTAATGTCTTTAATTAGCACCGGGTACCACTAAGGCTGCTTTTGCAGCATTCCTTGCACAGCCCCTCTACTTCCCTACCAAGTCTCTGGAAAGAAGAGGGAGGCTCCACCCCCTACCCCCTTCTCCCTACCCCACCCTGCTGGGCAATGGAGAAAACAGGAGTGAGTGAAGAGCTGTGATGTGGCTGGTTGAGGGGGGGCTCCGCCATCCCAGAGGGGCTGACCTCAGTCTAGGAGGAATGTGCAGGAGGCGGAGGGAGGGCAGAGGCGGAGCGGGTGGGGGCAGGGCCACAGCCAAAGGCCAGAGTTCTTGATAGCCTCTCCCTCAGCGCCCCCAACCTCTGCTCTGACAAGGCCTTCCAAAGGGAAAGGATGCGGGCAAGGAGGGGAGGAGCTGATCTTTCAAAACAGGTGGGCTAGGGTACCCTGGTAATGTGAGAACCAGACTGAGGTCGGGGGGAATACTCTGGCTGATCCTTTCCAGAAATCCCATTAGGGCAGGTATTAATTAGAATGTCAGGGATGGTAAGCCTTAGGTGATGCTGGGCCTCTCCATAGCCGCTTCCCCCACAACCTCAGGGTTGTGCTACTGGGTGCCCATGTGGCCAACAGCCACAGATTGTAAGGCGGAGCCATTAGCCTTGATTACTAAAGCAGGTGTGAACAGGGAGTCCTAGATCCCTGTCCAGCCCAGCTGGTTAGTGTCAGGATTGCTATAGCCTTCTTTAGATGTGCATCCTACGCTAGCCACACTGCCCAGAGTCCCACAGAGTGCACAGGGGCAGCCCAGATGGTGGGACGGGTGGAGATGGTGTGCCAGGTGCTGCGCCTTGGCACACAGTACAATTATTTCCACAAGGAAAAGCTAATTCTTGGCAGGATGTGCCACCAATGGGCAGAGCCAGCACCCAGGCAGGCCTGTGCCACGGATATCTCCATGAAAAATAGGAGCTCAAGAGGCTGGGGGGCTGGAGAGATGGCTCAGTGGTCTAGAGCACCTACTTGGAGCAAGCTTAGCAAAAGCATCAGGGACCGCGGTTCAATCCCCCAGCACC